GTTGGACTGTACTTTTATGTCTGCCCTTGGTAGACTGGGATGGGTACAGCAAGTGAACCTACCCGATTGGGCAACAAAACTGGCGATATATTTACTATGGGATGTCAAAGTATCGATGGACGGTCATCACATCGTTGATTATTCGTTCTAAATTATTTCTAAACCGATGTAATCAGTGAGCAAATGTCTACCATCCTTTGCGCTGGATTGGACAGTTTTATTGGATCACAATAGGTCCTGAAACTAGGATCCATTTTTTAGCGCAAAATGTACAACTTGCCTGCGATAATTCCACAACTAAATTCAATTTTGCATAGAAGTCGAGGCTCCAGAAGGCACTAAGCTATTAAAAAGAATAGCCGCGCCTGCAGGTATTTCAAGAAAGGTTGCCACGAAAAAACATGAAATAAATTTCAGGAAAACAAATGACTGATCTAATACACTTCAAGAAAGCGCTTCATGCACAAATAAGGGTGAACATTCGGCTGTTACATATACGTTGTCAGCAGAGTAAAAGAAACATAGCAGAAAATACACAAGTAGAGTAATAAGTGGCATAAAGAACAGTATGGTTACGAGGCAAAGTTGTTTTTAAGCCCCAGGACAAGTGATGTCTGGTCGCACAAAAAACGTGCCAGATATGGAATAACGGATGAATGATAAGCCCTTGTACGGGCAAACATGGATCTGGGTGAGGATGTTGATACACACTCAGATAGTGCACCAGTTTTAGTAAGTATTCTCGAAACAAGCTTTATGTGTGAGTTGGTGTGAGTGGACACGAGAATCTCAACAAAAGTCGGCTTGGGAATTCCAGTACAACAAGATAATTGCGTCAGTGACCTACCTAGGATTTTGAAGCGCCTTGCTAGGAAACCAGAAAATATCACAGTGGAGCAATAGGTCCAGAAGAGGTAAGACACATGCAGTGATAAATCTTAGCAGTAAGTGGCGGGGGACAGAGAAAGATCGGAAACGAAGGGCCTTATCATCTTTGTGAATATATCATTGACATGGAATGAGCAGGAAAGATCACGACTGTTACCTAGGTACGTCACTGACACTGGAGTGCAAATTCTCGCCATCTATGTGAAGTTCGGGGTATTTCATGAGAAGTTGATGATAGCCATGGCAAGTATATATAGGGGGAAAATGAGGTTATTGCATTTTGAAGAATTCAGCGATAAAAAGTGAGCTCTGGACCAAAATACAAGGCTGTCCAGATAAGCTTGTAATTTAGTTGATGAGGCTGCGGTCGGTTGTTGCATACCCAAGACTATGTGCTCTACGTATTTCAGCAATACCGCAGCGGCAGAGGCAGGTCAGCAAGAGGCTGGGCCAAGGAATCGGCACACACCTTGAGGACAATGGAAGATAATCCGTCCGGGCCACTTGCTTTGTTGGAGTTCAGCTGTAGACATTTATTGTGCACTGTATTTCTGTCAATGGCAGGTATGGAGGTTATGGGCCGATCCAGTCGTGGGGAAAAGGGTGAGAGATGGAGTTAGCATCGAAACAACAGAAGTTCCGGTGCAGTTCTTCCAGATCTACATCTGACACTCGGTTAGAGACTCCATTAAATTGTTTCAGCATACGTCAGACATCCTGGCAGCTACTGTGTCCCAGTATTTGTCGTTTAGACAGCGCAAGTCAGTTTTGATATAAATAGAAAAAGATTTCACTGCAGCGTAGGCTTTCGGTTTGAACGCTTCCTCTGAATCTACGCAAGCGTGTCAGGTATGGAGATGAAAACCGATCCGTACGGATGAAAATGGTTTCCAGTGGACAGGAGATATCAAAGCAGAAGTTGACGTATCTCGTTAATTGGTCGCAGTATTTAGATACATGATTGTCAAAAAGTACTAAAATCTGTGGATGGAATCATTTGCTGGAGCCAATATATGTTCTCAGGTGAACATTGTCTTCTTTTAAACCTGCGATCTTTACAACGAGTAATATGCCTATGAGTTACATTGCTGTACACGATCAGAGATAACTTGGTATTTGAGTGGTCAGAGCTACCAATCGGCGCCTGAGTGCATTGTTAATAAATACAAGGTCTATAGTCGTTTTAAGGCTGGTGGGGGAGTTTACAACGCTTGGCAGCCCAAGGTCAGTGAGAACAGTACATACAGAGATAATACACAATCTGTGGTACAGATATTGTGCCATCGGAATCATGGCTGAATAGGAAAACAATATGAATAATAAAAAAGAGCAACAAAAAAAGCTTTTTTAGTCTATTTTACCACTCACAGCTTTTGAAATTTTTTTCAGTTTGTTCTTTTTTAGGAGGAAGAAGGGACACCACCACACACCGATGCACATATCCGCCACTGACATCGATCTTGAGCCATGGCTTCCAAGGTCTTCAACCAGCAAGTATCCGCATCTCTCGAACCCCAACCAGGTAGTCGACAACAATCGGCCAAGCCCAACTGTTTCGTCAGCTTTTTCATGCGGTTTCTCCATGTTGTAGGCTGTCCACCAGATCGTCTCTTCCAGCCATGTCCAGCAAGTGCAAACAACGCACGACGGGGGTAACGCTGGACAGGCATGCGCAATACGTGTCCCAACCACCGCAGTTGATGCAGTGAGACGAGCTCCTCAAGCGAGTGGCTTCCACGTCCCAAGACACGCTGTCTAACTTCCACATTGCTTATGTGGTGCTGCCACCACACACGGGCAATGGACCGCAGACAGCGGTGCTCGAAGACGGATAGCCTGTGCAAGTCGTCTTTACGAAGGGGCCAGGTCTCGCATCCGTACAACAGTACAGTACGGATGGAGAGACGAATGTCGTGGCGACGCCAAAAGCGCCTCAGCCTAGAAAAAGCGAGGCCTGCTCTCGAGATGCGCATCGAAATCTCGTCTCCAACAGCACCGCCAGCAGTGATGCAACTTCCCAAGTAGACGAAGCTCTCCAAAACCTCTAGTGTCTCACCACCAAGAGTCAGCGCAGGCCATAAGCACCTGCCAATCTTAGAAGGGAGCCTTGCATTTGGATGGCGAAAAGTACATACCATACTTTGATGCTTCAGTCGCCAAGCGGTTTAGTGCAAGTTGGACGACGTGTGGATCATCAATTAGCAAGACGATATCATCCGGATATTCCAAATCAACAACTCGACTATCTGGGAGGAGCTCAACGCCAGCGTTCAACGAATCGCCCAGGGCGTTCTTTAGGACATCCTCAATGTCAAAGTTGAATAGGAACGGAGAGATAGGGCATCCTTGTCGAACTCCACTGGAGACCACAAAGTTAGGCAAAAGCTTGCCATAAGCCCTAACCCTGCCCGAGGTCAGATCACAGAGAGCGCGCAGGATAGGGACGAACTTCTCGGGGACGCCATTCCTCCGTAGGCAGTGCCACAGTACCGCCCGATCGACAGAATCGAAAGCTGCACGGATCTCCAAGAACACAGCGATCGTTGGCATCTGATACACATGGCAGAGCTTGAGGATCTAGTGGAGTGTGAAGATTTGGTCGATGCATCCGCGACCAGGGCGAAATCCAGCTTGTTCTTCTCGCTGCAACGATTCGTGCGTTGGGGATAGCCTGCAAAGTATGATGGACACCAGCAGCTTGCAAACGACGGGGAAAAGTGGTTTCTAATCTGTTGAAATCAGCAGTAAAGATGCAAAGCGAAGAATTAAGGTGGTTGGTGACATTTGAAGTGAACTGATCGTAAAATGTCTCGGCCTCAGAAACGGGACAAATGGAGGCAATATAGATATTTGCAAAGAAAATCGATTGGTAGCCATTTAAACATCTAGGTTTACATTTCAAAATCAAACAGTTACTAGGTGGAAAAGAAACCAACTTTTTGTTGACGTGTACCACACAGGATGGACATAAGTGGTGACACCACTGCCGCGGCTCTTGTATGTATTTGACCAGTGGACACGATGGCAAATGAATCGCTCGATTGCTACAACATCACCGTCAACATCTTCATGGAGCCACGTCTCTTGAAGCACAATTACGCCAAGCTACGAGTATTCGCGACAGCGCATTTTGCTTATAATCTCATCAATTTTGCTCATAACTGAGCAGGCATTTTAGCTTATTAGAACGGGGGATACTCATACTCCGCAATGTATTCTTCCATCTATCCATGAATGGCGAACGAGCTGAATGGATAGCTTAGGAAAAAGAAATATTCCAAATAAGAAGGAAAGATTAGCAATGGTTTATCTGTTTTTAAACCTCCCCGGTACACGACCCGATTGGATATGGAGGTGCGGTTGAAATCTTTCGAGGGAATACGCCGCATGTAAGCAGGTCCAAGGGAGACGAATGCACGGATAACCGCATTGTTTCAGTTAATTTTTTTTACTACTCACTTTGTCTTGCATCTGTTGTGATTCCTGTTTCTTGTCATTTCATTTCTACCATCCTATTGTTTTAATGATATTATCCATTCTGAACCAATCTGATCATGACGCAAGAGACACGTCTGTGAAATTGAGGACAACGTCGTTATTACTATTCTGTACAGTAGATATACAAAGCGTATTGTAACTGATTCATGATCTTCAGTGCATTTCGCGAACTTCAAAAGTGAACAATTGCAGAAAAATTCACTTCGGTGCTGAGGACCTCATCACTATCATTAACATTCACTATGCTGGTGCTGCCGCTTACCTACATTACAAGCTAATTCAAACAACCGACGGTCCTTTTTATTCTAATGTTATGTTCGCGATGTAATATGATCAGTCTTCACCTTTTTCCTGAACGCGAAAAATGAATTTTTATCTATATTTTCATCTATCTTTCTATCTATCTTTATCTATATTTTCGTGTTCGGTGTACTGTACAGGAGAGTAATTCGCTGACCACGACTTGATGGGCGTGTCTGGCATTGCCGAGAATGAACGGTTATTTATTAGCTATTTAGTTACAAAACGGGAAACCATATAGAGAGAAGTTATAAAGTTGTGGACGATGCTTGTGAAACTGCCACAATTCGAAAGTAAAGTATAAGAAAACATACCTGTGCAAAACCATCTGACACCGCTCTCATCTTTGTAGAAATCTCTTGCAGTTAGTTCCGGTTGACGGTAGTATCCATTAGAAACAGGGCTCCCAGAGATCAAAATTTCACCACGTGGAGACGGCTTATCTTCTGGAAAATAGCCCCCTTCTGGCCAAGGGCGCAGCTTGATCTGCACAGATGGAGACGGAGCACCCACGTGATTGCATCTCAAATCTCCACATTCCATTAGACAACCAGCAGAGCTGGTTTCCGTTAAGCCATAACTGTAAGCAAGAAAAGAAAATGAGTACGTAAGTTATGTATTAAGGATAGCACTTTAGAATATAACACCGATACAAAGGTAAGGAAGAAAATAAGAAAAAAAGGTGAATCACTAATCAGCAGAAGGAAGTGTCAGCAACAATTAAAAGGGTGATCGTGTATGGAGACAACTAACGAGCTGCAGAAAGAGAACGATATGGAAATAGCTGATGCTATGGACGTGTCATCTGTTCACTTTCCTACTTTGTTTTGAGCTTCTGGTCCAACCGTCTAGTTGAAGCAGCTTCATCACACGCATGCGAACACCCGTTAATTCTATCTGTCATCCACTGACATTCCCACAGCTTGAAGTACAGCGTCCATAACCATACATGCCTTCGCGTATTTGTGCGAATTAAGTTACCCATTTGACATATACCCACGTAAATTGCGAACTGATTTCTAAGGCTATCGGTCGCTTTGTTTGAAATCGCGTACGAATTCAACCCTCTTGGTTGGCTGCGTAACTAGTTGTGCTTCAGTTGACTGGTGCCAAGATGTGGACTACCTTGACAACCGGTTGTAAGCCGAGAACAGAATGGTTGGACAACATGTGGTCTAAATATTGCTGGAGTTAATCATTGAATTATCGATCTAATTGCTGTAAAACTAGCACGGTAGCTCAAATCCGGTTTTGACGTCTGAATTGACCCAGGAGTGCTAAGAGTCGTAGGAAAATCAAGGCCGATCAGTCGGTAAAAGCTGAATACTCCTAGAGGTCATCCGATGTAAGGCCCAAAGGAAGATGTACGGTTGCGATTACTGATTACTTGCTCTGTGTAGCTGCATCAATTGTCACTCATGGAAAAATGCCCGTTAGGTTGTGTTCCGTTCAATATATTTTGCGTCGGCAAAGTGTTTGTCAAGTGACTTTTTAACTTCCGACACTGACTTTGCCTCAACTACGTGCTGCGGCAGGTCGTTCCATACATTCACCAATCTGCGTTCGAAACAGAGTTAGTGAGCGACGCGCTTCAAATCCGGTACGACGAGCTTATACCGGTGTCCTCGTGTGCTGTTTGGTGTGCGCAGATGAAGTAGTGGTCTCAACATACGGTAATCACCCAGATGTAATATCCGGTGAGTCATGATGAGGTCAACCCTCAGTCGGCCATAAGCTAGGGTGTACAGCCCTAGTTTCTTACACCGGTCTTCGTACGGAACACCTCGTAAGTTGGGAATCAGCCTGGTGGCTACATGATGCACTTGCTCAATCTTTTCTACCTCGCACCGGGTGATAGGACCATAAGCGGGAGAAGTATACTCTAGCATTGGTCGTATTAATGAGAAGAAGAGGCGAGTGGCAATCTCTTCGGAACAAGTGCTGAAGCTGCCCCTGAGCGCCCAAAGCATCCGAAGGCTGTTTTGGTAAGTCCTATTCGTGTTGTCCATGGACTTTAGGTCGTAGCGTGAGAGTACACCAAGGTCGCGCACAAAAGGCGCGGGATGCAACGGTTGACCAGCCACCGCGTAGATTCGACTGTGTTCACACTTACCCAGCCTCATGTATTGCGATTTGACCGGGTTGATCGGAAGGTTGACCTCTGCAGACCACATGGAGAGGCGGTCGAGGTCCTGCTGATGCAAATCAAAATCATTGGGTGTGCGGATTACTCTCCACACCTTCAAGTCATCTGCCAACAACGCACAAGATGACTGGAGTAGCTGAGGCACATCGTTTACATGGATCACAAACAAAATCGACCCCAGTACAGTGACTTGGTGCACGCCGCTGCTCGATGGATACCAGTCGGTTTAATGGTTTATCCACTCAGACACGGATAAAGATTGAAGAGGGCCGTTTTGTGGGATAGATCGGTGAAGATACTGCGCAATAGCTGCAGAAGCAGAATAAATTTCGGTACTGCGGTTTTCGATAACCTACTATGGGAATGCGGACAAGTAAACGCAGGCATAAAACCCGCTTGGCCAGCAGTGCTTCTATAACCCATTCCCAGAGAACCACTAATCGTATATGAAACGATACGCCATACTCGACTGCTGGTGACCACTATTCCGTCTTAGCATTTTATAATGGTGCATATATCATCACAACATCCTACCGGGTAGAAACGTTTGTTAGCACTCTGAGTACAAGAAGCTCTCTTGTAAATTGCAAATGAAACCAGAAGAGAGAAAAAAAACACGAATTATAGTGCTACTAATCCATGTGTTATTTCGGTAACATAAGGAGGGTAAAAGAAAATCGCTGTTACCAATATGCCACTTAGAAAAACAAATGACCTCAAATACAACCAGGTAATCTCCTCTGATCCTGTTCCCATCACCCTTGGAAAGCTCCAAGCCAATCATTACGAACTGGATGAGCTAAAAACCAAACTGATAACGAGTGATAATCTACGCTTAGTCCTTAATAAAATGGAGCCCTTCGCTGATCTTCCACAAATACGAACCTGTCCAGTGGTAGATCAACCAATTCATGTAGCGGAATTACTTGATATGATAACTGCAGAAATAAATGGACGTTTTATTTTTCGACGATGCGAGACACTATTCACACTTAAGTGAAGATCAAAAGGTATACAGATTTTCTCTAGCAATCCACATAACCGAGGGGTTCAAAAATGCAGCACTCTTTCATGTTCACGACAACATTGCCATCATTATCGTAAAGAATATTCTGCTTAGAGATAGTGAGATGGCTAATGTACCGCGTGTTTGCATGAGACTGAGAAAATAGGTCCAACACCGCTCACGCCCCATTCCGTTTCAATTCGCGGATGCTTTGACTGCCACTGAAATTACCGGAAAACGGGACCAAATTTTTGACGAAAACATGTTTCAGTCCCTGAAAAGTGCAGTCAAAAAAATGCCTTGTAAAAAGGAGCTTTAGCGAAGACAGACAGCTTCTCATCTATACTGAGAAACGCCAATCACCAACACTTTTGTCTGTGCGTCGACTAGTGCTATCACGCAGCCAGAAACCACTTATGGGCTCGACGAAAACATCGAACCTGACTGTGTTGCTGACTGTCGTTGAAACCAATTACCCACCTTCATCTAGTATGGTAAGTATTCCTGACGATCCACCATAAGTGGCGACTACAGCTCATGAACTAAAAGATTTCGCTGGAAAGGCAAAACACATCCGCCAGCCGAAATATAACATAACGGAGGGAAAAAATAGTCAGACGAGTTTGCCCAGTGGAGACGATGATTTAGACACTTCCAAGCATCCATCTAATGACGAGGAGTTTAGTTATAACCCGCGAGAAGAAAGAGGAAATACCAACCCCACTGGTCGAAGGACATCATCAAACAATCCCGACCGACGTCTGATACAGTGGAGAGTCGGTACTGAATGCCGACGATGAACCGGGCAAAAGTATCCACCATACAGCCTTCATCCCATGTGAAGCAAGTATCACAACAAGAACACACGCAAGAGCCACCACTCAAATAGGTTACACGAGCACTCATGACCACAATGTTGTTATTCACAGTGTTCTAGCCTTAAACGCCCCAGATTCTGTGGATGTTCTTTGGACAGTAAATACTATTTGCGCTGCATCCAGCATAAAACCACACTGGGTCACATCCAATAGAAGACCACAACCGCATCTCCTCTTCTGGGTGCTCTATACTCGAACAATAGAGGCCGCGTCATGGTCTACGATGACCTCTCGGATGCCTTTCCGACAACAAGTGGCATTCGGGAGGGTTGTCTAATTTCGCCATTTTTGTTCACTTTGTCGTGGACTCCACTATGGAGTGTTCCCTGGGTGTATCTCAGGATTCAGGTATTGAGATGCTGTCTCGCGAAAGGTTAGTTGATCTTTATTATGCGGACGATATCGTCTTGCTATTTAACGCTATTGGGGCGGCGCAATCAACCCTGAATAGCCTCACTAGAGTGGTCCCATTAGTTGGCACGCGCTTCGAACCTTCAAAGTGCTACTACAGGACCACCAGGCACTTGATGATCTCTTGACCCTAGATAGCGAGGAACGAGGTATTTGATGAATTCATTTGTCGTGGAGACTGTATCAGCGATGATGGGCGCATAGTTAATGAAGTCAGTTCACGCATTGCAAAAGCCTGCACCGCCTTAATGAATCTGCCATCAAGGTGTGGTACCCCTGACAAAAGCATGATCTCACTTCTCTTGAAAATCTAAAACGGAGGACGAGTAAAATGACTAGGCTTTGCCCCACTTCCCTTACTAGTGGTATTCGGTCGCGACTAGGCGCATAGTCAACATTTTCCCAGAGCTGGTGGGCGAGCGAGTGACAATCCACTAGTTTCAGACGTTTTCCAAAATACATAGGCCAGCAACGGTTATTGCTAGCTTCCAGCTAGAGCAGTTAACTACATCCTCATCCGTAGTTCATTGTAAACTGCAGAAATTCCTTGGAAACGTCTTAGAAGACTCTGGACCGCGAAATGGTTTCCACTCCTTCTTGTCAATGCCCGTTTTATCGTCAACGAAATGCACAGGCTTCAATACATTGTTGCTCTTGTGTATCCTCATCTGTTGCCCATTACTGTAACTTGGTGCCGTAATGAAACATCAGAGATACGCTTATACAAAACCATGTTATAAAATAATTCGCAGAAGTCCCGCAGCAGTAGGTAGTGGTGTGCACTGTTCCATTTCCGTTTGACAGTACCTCTGGGTCGAGGAATCGACCGAATCTCAATCATGCTCATTCACTGATTTTGTTTGTATAAGGACATCATTTAATAAGCTAGACCTGCTAGTTGGCTGTGTCTATAATATACCACCTAGTAAGGACATCGCACTGGCTAAACTTGAAACGACTTTCCAATGTACAGCAACACATTACTCCACAGGAAGGGTTGTGACCGGGGACTTCAACATGCCACAAGTGTTGTGGTCATCACTCGATGACCCTCGAAAGTATGTAGACATCCTATCAAACGTCAGTATGACAGGTTGAACGCAAGTTACCACTTCCACACGAATCAACAAAAGTCTGGA